GTTGGGTTGTGGGTCCCATCATCCTCATTTGGATTGGGGGTCCCATCAACCCCATTGAGTTAGGGGTTCCATCATCCTCATTGGGTTGTGGGTCCCATCATCCTCATTTGGATTGGGGGTCCCATCAACCCCATTGAGTTAGGGGTTCCATTACCCCTACTGGGTTGGGGTTTCCCATCATCCCTATTGAGTTGGGGTTCCCATTATGTCTGTTGGACTGGGGGGGTCCCATCATCCTTGGTGGGGTTGAGGGGTCCCATCAACCCCATTGGGTCCCCCATTAGTTCCACTGGATTGGGTTTGGGTTGGGCTTCCAATCACCCTTCCTTCACCCGATGCAAGCTCCAACCCAATGCATTAGTGGAACAGACCATTTTTGGGGGGGGGCGGTGTGGTGGTGAATGCATTGTTAACCTTAAGCTTTCCATAAAATTCACTCCAGCTTAAAAAAAAAGAATAGTGTAAAAAATTAAAAGAAAAAAGCAGAATTTGTAAAAGGGCCTATCAAATCTCACATGCAAATCTTCCCCACCCATCTTCTTCACACACCCCTCCCAAAATAATGAGCAGACCCTTGCCTGTATGAGGGGGGGGGGCAATGCACCCCTTCACCCAGCCCTGGGGAGCATGAGCAATTAAAACCATCCAGGGTCCAAGCCACATTTCTTATAAATAAAGTCCCCTTTTTAGGAGAAAAAAACAGTAACCCCCCCCCCTATTTCTCTCTCTTTTCATCTATTCATCCTTTCTTTCCTTCCTCTTTTTCTCCTTCTACCCTCCCCCCCCTCGCGCCACTGGTTACTCCCAAGTCTCGGGATCCCCTATGGGCTTCGGGCGATACCAACTCTCCGTCGGGGTGGAACACTGGAATTAGGAGTCTCACCTTTCCCAAACAGCTTCCCGAAACCACTCATCTCGCCTGGTGGGAAATTCACTGGGTTTCCTCTTCCGGCTTCACCCACCTACAAGCCTCGCCCCGCCCCATCACGTGCCACGAGGGTGGAAACAGACTAAAGGGTTTGGAGGGTTTTGCGTATGCGCTTATAAACTACCGGCTCTCGAGCGAAGCAAGCGTAGAAGGAGAGGGATACCCAAAGAGGGAAAGCTGGGGTTATTGGACGGCCTTAATTCGCACCGTGGGCTACATTAAAACATTTAAGTCAAGGAATTAATAAATTAAAAGCAAAGGAACAAGCTCCCTTTTGGCTAGAGAGTTCATTGGGTCCTAAAAAAAAAAAAACACCTCTAGAACTAAGTCTAAACGGAACCGGAAATATAAATAAAACGAAACTCAGCTTTTTTTCCCCTCTGAGGCCAGCATGTGATGAAAGCATTGTGTGTGTAGGGGGGGGGGGGGGGAAGATTTGGTAGAGCCGATAAATCATGTGCTTTGTGACGTCACTTCCCCGCCCTTCTCTGTCTCTTAAAGGAACCGTAACACCCCCTCCCCCAAATCTTTTCCAGGCCTTAAAGGGGCTGCACCCTTTAATCTACTCAAATTCATTTAATCTACTCAAATTCAATTCTACCCGACTCTGTAGTTTCTTCCCCAAACTCCAAAAACTTTAACCTTAGACTGTCTACTATTGACCTCACCCCTTTCCTAAGAGGTCTGTAGGGGGCGTGCATAAGCGCACCAACGTGCCTACCGTCCCTGTCCTATTGTTTCTCTTATTCTTCTTTTATTTTTCTTATATGTACCCATTTCATGTATTCACAACTATGTATACACTTATACTTATTATCTTGTAAACAATTGGCAAATCAAATAAATAAATAAATAAATAAATAAATAAATAAATAAAATTTTTCTGAAATGGTATAGGGTTGGGGGGGTGGACTAGAAGACCTCCAAGGTCCCTTCCAGTTCTGGTATTCTGTTACTCGTTTCTTTCCCAGATCCTACATAGGTAGTTCTCAACTTACAACCAATCGTTTAGTGACCATTTGAAGTCACAATGGCACTGACAAAAATGGATTGATGGCACACAACTGCCGCAGCATCCCTGCTGCCACGTGATCCAAATTCAAACAATTTGACAACTTGACTCATATTTATAACGGTCGCAATGTTGAGGAGGGGTCAGGCTATCCACTTCAGTGACCTTCCGATAAGCAAAGTCAATGGAGAAGTCAGATTCGCTTAACAACTGGCTTACTCAGTTAACAACTGCAGTGATACGCTTTAACGACCATGGCAAGAAAGGTCCTCAAATGGGACAAAAGTCACTTAAATGTCTCTTTTAGCAACAGAAAATTTTGGCTCAATTGTGGTCGTAAAGGGCTATCAGCGAGAAGGCCTTTGCAAACTATGGATTGGTTTTAGCCAGAATATCAATCAGAATAGAGCTGGAAGGAACCTTGGAGGTCCTCTAGACCAACCCCCCTGTGCTCCAACAGGAGATCCTATAACCATTTCAGGCAAATGGTTGTCCAGTCTCTTCTTAAAGACCTCCAGTGATGAAGGACCCACAACTTGGGTTAGGGTTGTCTTGGCTGTCCAATCTCTTCCAGTGATGGAGCAAATACAACTTCTGGTGGCAGGCTGTTCCACTGGCTAATTGATAGGAAGTTTCTCCTTAGTTCCAGGTTGTTTCTCTCCTTGATTAGCTTCCATCCATTGTTTCTTGTCTTCTGGTGCTTCGGAAAATAAATGGACTCCCTCCTCTTTGTGGCAGCCCCTCAAATACTGGAAGACTGCTATCACATCCCCCCGAGTCCTTCTTTTTTCTAGGCTGGCCACCCCCAATTCCTGCAACCGTTCTTCATAGGTTTTAGCCTCCGGGCCTTTAATCCTCTTAGTTGCTCTTCTCTGCATTTTTTCCAAAGTCTGAATATATTTTTTGAAATGTGGTGACCAAAATTGGATGCGCTATTCCAGGTGTGGCCTTACTAAGGCTTTATAAAGGGCAGGGGTGGGATTCAAATTTCTTAACAACCAGTTCTGTGAGGACGGCCTAATTTGTGGGTGTGGCTTGGTGGACATGTGACTGGGGTGTGTGTGGCTCGCTGACGGGGGCGGGGGGTGACTTGGTGGTCATGTGACTGAAAGAGGGTGTGGCTTATACGTAAATATTGTAAATATTTATGTAAATATTGTGTGTATATATATATGTGTGTGTGTATATGTATGTATGTATGTATGTGTGTGTGTGTGTGTGTGTGTGTGTATAT